TCTATATATATATATATATATAGACACACACACATATACACATATATATATATGGGAAATAATAGCGTAGGCCAGTGGGCCTACAGCTACATATGAGCCCAACGTTGAATCTGGGCCGATCCAATCATCACGATTGCAGTTCGTATTTTAATTTTAATTTTTTTTCTATAAATTTAAATCACTTGAAATTTTGGGCGTGTGTTCTTTAAAAATAGGATAATCCAATAAAAATATCAAAAACATATTTCGTGAGAAATAAATTGACCAAAATACCCTCAAAACTTTTGAGGGGCATTTTGATCGATTTATATCTTGCGAATTATTTTTTTTAATATTTTTTATTAGATGTACGTTGATGAGAAAAATAGATGCCTAAAATTTCACATGTTATGGATTTGTAGAAAAAAATTTAAAATTAAAATACCAAATGAAGTCGTGTCTATCAAATTAACCAAGATTGAATCTGAGCCGTTGGGCTCATATGTAGCTATAAGCCCTCTGGTCTACGCTAGCATTTCTATATATATATATATATATATATACATATATATATGGGTGCAGTTAGTATACGGACGCCTCCGTAGGTGTGGTAGACGTATGGTGCCCTTCAAATTTTATCATGGTATATAATTTTGATGTAAAATGTTATTAGGATTATCTCAAAATCTATTTCTATATCTAATTATAAAATTTTAAATTTCAAAAATGGTTAAAATCAAGTAGATCTATAAACACATGAAAATCTTGACAATGAATGGTGTAGATAATATATTGTAAAATGCACACTTTATGAGACTTAAAAACCTTTTTATTTTTCATAGTCATACATCTTGATGTCGAGATGATCAATCAAAGGGTTTTTCAACATTAAAACTACCTTTTTCGATGGATTTTTGAAGGGCATCCGTAGTTCTACATTATAAGGTAGCATCCTTATATAAACTTTTTCCTATATATATAGGGTTTTTCTAGAATTCACCATACTAATGGTGATTTTAGAATACCCTACTTCAACATTCTTGACAATATGTTACCCCTATATTGTTTAAAATTACACTAGTTTCCTTATTCGAATCAAATTTTTGGAGGGCATTAGTAGTAATTATAAATGATGCTCAAATTTCAAAATCAAAATGCCAAATTTGAAATACAAGTCAAGCCCACATTCAAAATTCAAAACCAAATTTAAATTTCAAAACCAAGATCATGCCCTACTCTCTCTCTAAACAAATTTGGATCAGCGTGGAGTCTCATTCTCTCTCAACCAAGATCGTGCCTCACCTTCTCTTTGTGCTAACATCAACCAAGATTTGTGACCCACCTTCTCTCTCGCTTCATGCAATCAAAATATAGAATTTTGCAGTTGTTTTCTCTGCTGCAAAAACAACAGAGAATTGATCTTATGGTGATAGATTCGATTGCAGCTGGTTTCCTTTGGCTGTAGTTGGTGACTACAGGACACTACTGGTTGGTTTGATAGCTGGAGAGAGTAATCAGCAAGGGGTTGGTTTCAACATCAACGTTAGAGGCAAGAGAAAGCGAGAGAGAAAGAGATAACAGGTTCAAAGCAACTTCGTCACTCTCGTGTACCCATCGGACGGCAGCCCTTTTGGGGCTTCCTTAGGGACCGATTCACTCTGCGTAGATTGACTGAACGCATAAAGCCTTGAACTGGAAAGCGATCGTGTCTTTCACAGGATTTCTTGTTACTCAAGTCAGCATTCTCACTTCTGATATCTCCAGGTGTTGTAACCAAAAACCTTCCCCGATTGACAGAACGTCCCACTACTGACACTTGAAAATGCTTTCAAGGTCTCGTTGCTTCGGTGAATCACTTGGGCCTTGATACATTTTCGGTGCCATGGAGCTAGATCAGTGAGCTATTACGCTTTCTTCAAAGGATGACTGCTTCCCAACCCACCTCCTGATTGTCATCGCTCGATCATTTCCTTTTCCACTAAGAGATTGCTTAGGGACCTTAGCGTACGATCTGGGCTGTTTCCCTCTCGACTTTGGATCTTAACACCCAAAGTGTCTGTCTATACAAGCGATCTAGGCCTGTCTTCGGAGTTTCCCTGGGGTTGGTCAAGCTTTTTGGGGGCCACTCTAGCCCATTGAGTGCTCTACCTCGGGCCATCGACATCATACGCTCTACTGAAATAGATTTCGCGGAAAACCAGCTATATCCGATCTTGGTTGGCCTTTCACCCCTAGCCACAAGTCATCCCCATATTTTGCCACATACGTGGGTTCGGTCCTCCAAGGCCTATTAGAGCTCTCTTCAACCTGCTCATGGCTAGATCGATCGGTTTCGGGTCAAATAGGAACAATTGGAAGATTCAACCTTTGGAAAGCGCCTACACCTAATGGCTTAAGCCGAGTTCCCATTTCCTCGCTGACCCATCATGCGAAAGGTACGCCGTTAGAGTGAGTGCGCTCGTCGTTTGGCTCTAAGCTCTGCTCCTTCGACTGATTGTTCGCATCGGATCTCAGGTTCTCTATTGCACTCCCTAAATAGGGTTCTTTTCACCTTTCCCTCACAGTACTTGTACGCTATCGGTCATTGAGGAAGACTTAGGCTTAGAGGGTGGTCCCCCTTTCTCGCGTAAAAGCGATCAAAATTTGAACACGTCGCGTTTTACTGGGAAGGATAGAACCATGGGAATGAATCTACAGGGCTATCACATTCTTTGGCCAGATCTTCCTACCTTTTCACAATTCCCGAACCAACGGTTTTTCCATCATCCAATCCACAACAAATCGAATGAAACCAACGAGAACGAGTTACACGAGCTTAATAGGAGCCTATGAAAACTAGTTTGTTAGGCTGATCGAGAACGAGTTACGTTTAAACAAGTGCAATTCTACGAAACGAGCCTAATAGGAAAGGAAGCGAAGTGCATAAGCACTGAGCGTGCCATGAGCGAAGCAAGAGGAACGAGGCTAAGCGGCTTCGCACCTTTGCTCCGTTCCGCTTCGCGAATGACAGAAGATTGAATTGCTTTGCTTTGCTAGAGCGAAGCTTCGTGGTAAGCTTCGTGTTTCTTTTTCTTCAAAGCCCCAATCCGCTCTCGCTCGCCACTAGTAAGGGGGTCTCGGTTGATTTCCCTTCCTTTAGCTACTCAGATGTTTCAATTCGCTAAGTTTTCAAAGTCCAAAGAGCGCAGACTAACCACGGAGCTTGGATAAGGTTTCCCGATCGGAGATCCATGGATCACAGACGATATCTCCCCATGGCCTTTCGCCTCTTCAAGCGTCCTTCCTTCTCAAAGCCCGGGCATCCATCCAATGCATTGGGTGCACTGAACACCAACATAATCTCGATGCAAGCAAGGTCTAATGGCTGGGCTATTTGCTGTTGCGAAGCAAAAGCTAGGGGGCAAGGCAAGTCTTGTCAAAGCCAGCAAACTACAACTCGAAAGCAAGAAGCAAGAAGCAAGAAGCAAGAAGCAAGAAGCAAGGGGGCACGTTAGCGCATCTGTTTTCTTGCTGGAGTACGCTAGTGCCCAACAAACTACAGCTCGAAAGCAAGAAGAAAGAGCGCGTTAGCGCCGCTAGCGCATCCGTTTTCTTGCAAGAAGCAAGGGCACGTTAGCGCTGCGCATCCGTTTTCTTGCTTGTCTTTGGCTCAAAAGCCTACGTGCGCGCTAGCGCACTGTAGTTTTCTTCGCAGCTAGCGCGCACTGTAGTTTTCTTCGCAGCTAGCGCGCCCAGCAAGAAAATGTATGCGGTAGCGTGCTCTTCCGTTGCTTGGTGTAGTTTTCTTCGCTTCAACAACGAGGGCTTTGACATGACTTGGCTTGGCCAAACAAAACTCAAAATACATCAACAACCCCTATTCCTGAAGTGAACGGCCGCTTTCTTGGAACTAAGAGGGGGTTCAACAACTACATCCTTGGTTCATAAACACAACTAGACCCAACGAGTGGAGTACATAAGTACGGTGCGAGCCATGAGCAGCCGCTTTCAGTTCAAGTTCATTATAGAAGGCTGGCTTGTGTTTGTTCAACAACTACACCAAGGGCTTGAAATTCACTCTATAAGCTCTGAGTGGGCTTGTTTGTTCTACTTGGGGGCAGAGAGAGCGAGCAGGGAAAGAATAGGTACCTTGGGAGCAGAGCAGAGGAGAGAGAGATTAACACTGATGCAAAATCAGCAGCATAATGACTTTTTTTTAATCACAAAAAGTGAGCTACAAATCTTTCCAAAATGGTTCAATATGATCCAATAACATTATTCAATTGTTTAATCAACATGTTACAGCATAAGCATGATGAATTTCAAGTAAATAATGATCAAATCACAAAAAGGACTTGGTG